ACAGAGCACGCAGAATGGTGGAGCGAGAAGGAAACAGAGGCACCCAAGTCAAGGCCGGAAAGAGTTGGTGCACACATGGGGGGGTTGCAAGACCAGCTAGAGTTGGTGCTCTCACATGTAGGTCACCATGCCTTGGGCATCGCAGTACACATGGTAGGCCAAGCTGCACTCCCCCCCAGCCACCCACCCAGGGAAATTCCGCCCCCATGCTTGCTGCAAGTCCAGCAAGACTTGCTCTGGTGGCAGATGGTGGGGGAGAGGAGGGTAGGAGGGCAAGAGTAGGATAGAAGGAGGGGATGGGGCAGGAATCAGAGTTATGATAAATCAGATCTCATCACCTGTGTGTCACACCTTTCTCTTTCTCTTCTTCCAGCCTGTGCCGCACGAATGTGGAATGGACACATGCGATCGTGAGGTACCCAGAAACAGTGACTCGGAGATTGAAACTTCTACGGTGATCAGCAGTATGCACATGCATGGGAGAATGGGCATGGGGATTCATCCACTGATAACGATGGTGCCACTGATGGTAGGAGGCGCAAACATGAGGGGAGGTCAAATACTATTTGGGGGGGGGTCTTAGTAAGAGGTAAGTATCATTGGGGGGGATGAACAGTCCTCAGCTCCATTAGGCACAGCACGTGAGTACTAAGCTACGTCTAATAGTACTCGTGGTCGTAGATGAGCCACGACGCCTTGCGATGCTGCTTCCACCCATGGGTGCAAGCCAACCACACATCAAATCCCCCCCCCATGCCTGCTGGAATTCCAGCCAGCAGGAGGTGCCTGCTTCTGAGGAGGTGGGATGGAAGAAGAGATGAATTGATCAGCTCATCAGCTTCGCATGGTCTTCCATCTCTCTCTCGAAGACCCTGCACCAGACATAGGGCCCCCAATTGGGGAAATTGCGGTGTTGCGAAGCTATTAGCATGCTGCTGCAATTTCAAGCTTGGAGTTGGCCGGTCAAGCTGCTAAATATCATGCGTTGTGACAGCGCCACTTGACTTTGATGACACCGTGGCACGGTGGTGTCACAGGTGCCTACATTGTGCATGGCGGGATGAGGTTGAACAAATTACTAGCTTTGGTAGCGGAAGACAGCGGACTCGGGGCCCCGAGTAAAAACCGTTGATCACAATGACGCGCCGTGGCAGCCGAGCCGATGCGTCCCGCGTCATGGTGGTGCCATCGTGGTGTGAGAGCCTCCATAGAACCCTTGCTGGACTGAATACTTCTACCGTCACCAAGACTCCATAAGACATTTTTTTTTCAGGTCAACAGAATACAAGAGGATTGGAGGTGAGGGTGGGGGTCGTTCAAAGGCGGCCTCCTGAACGTCAAAGTTTGTTACATTGGGAGCCGGCGAACGGGACACAGCGGACTGGAGAAACCAGGGCGAGACACGTCAAAAAGAGGAGTAAGCCGAGCGGTATGATCCTTTCCTTGATTGTCATTGGTGCGGCGAGCTTCCAGGAAAAGGCTGGTAATTTTTACAAGCGGCGCTTGTGAAGCTGTGCGCAACTAGCTGTGTTTCTACTAAAGCTCAATAGAAGTGTGAACATCTGTAGAAGGTTGAACCAAAAGACTACTACTACTGGTGTGCAGACGACTCGGATGTCCAAGGAGGAGGAAAGCTAAAAAATAGTAGGAAATCCAGGGTTAGGGTTGGAGTTGAGGGAAACGGATAGAGGCCCAGTTTCCCGCAACAAATTTGCTTTGAAAATTTCTGCGTGGCTGCGACAACCAACTTCGCTAACGGCGTCGAATTCACAAATTCCAACCTCCCATTCACCCGTGGAGCTTGGATCTGCGATGGAAGTTACCCTGCTCTCGCAAACTCCAACGTGACACGAGTTTCGGTGGTGGCGTGGCATGCCAGCAGGGCGTGTCGAACCCAAGAATCCCGCCTGGTCAGACGAACGAGGGCAATGGCTGACCCTGTTTGACGAGCACAGACCTCTTCATTCACTCTCGCGATAACGGAATAAAGCGAAACCCTAATGACCACTACCGCGAATGCTATGTATTGCTTCCAGCATACGAAGAGCTAGTATATTTGAACATGCGAATTATGGCACTAGCGACCAGTCAGTGCCCTAGCGACCCGACGACATAGTGATCTAGCCTCTCAGCCTTCGACGGCCTGCCTTATCGCGATCGGAAAATGTCAAGTGGACTAGCGATAAGTTTCAGAGTTTAATCGTGCGAATCCTGAGTTTACTACTAGAAACAACGGCAGGATGCCACTAACATTTGATGCTCAAAGTTTAATCCCTATTCGCTATGAGATGCCAGAATATCGTCCGCTTTAAGCAGGAGACATCACTGTCGCACTTCCTCCCCCGCGCCCATCCGTCTTCTCCTCCTCACCATCGCACAACTATGTGACCTGGAGCCACCGTCGCGAGAAGCATGAATGCGCAATTGACCTTAGAAGGCATCACAGAAACGGCAGATCCGCTTTTCTCCCCCCTCCACCCGCAGCCCCCTCCTTTGCTCTCCCCAAGGAAACGCCTTGATTCTTTACTCAGCCCTTCTTTCTTAACTGCACTGTGATGTAATCTCAAAGGATCATCAGAAAAATGTCGAACTGCCTAAAACTGGGGGTCGAGTACTTAGATTTTTTTTTGGGGTTGTGTCGTGCCCTGTAAATGGCCGTTTACTGTAAGGGAAGGGTTGCGAGTTAAAGCTCGCGTCTCATATTTCTGTGTCCCAACCAAGTGTTAAACGCTTGGTATCCGGTAACCCTCAAACTGTCGCAACTCCACTGAAGGTTGGCCCAGGTTGAAACGATTGGTTGGAAACCTACAAACTTGCTTGGCGGTATGCGCAGGGACGTGCCAAACCAATCATGCGATCATGCACCCAGGTAGGTTTGGAAAACACACCTGCACGGTGACAACACGATCGCCCAAACTCCCCCACCGGCAACCAGGTTGTCGCACGAATCAAGCATTTACAACAGCTGAAAAATATGAGACTGACAGAACTCAAAAACCCGATTTCGCACTAGCACTAGGCTCGGATTCAAGAGTAAAACTCTTTCCACTAGCAACTGCGGTTACCTCTTGCACAAAAGTTAGATTCTCGGTGATCAGCATATACGGCCGACCTATAAACTTGAAATTAGGTCTTCATTTATCAGTATTAGCGGCGACCAGGGTACATCCCGTGCTTATCGTGAACCATGTCCAAGTAATGAGGCGCGCCAGGTAAGGGACGCGATGGGGCAGGACGGGACAGTACGGGAAGCGACGGGACTGGACAGGACTGGACGGGAAGGGACTGGAGGGACTGGACGGGACGGCACAGGAAGGTAAGAATCTCGACGAGGGGCCGGGAGGGGACGTGACGGGAAGGCGGGATGCGACGAGACCGGACGCAAATGGAAGGGAGGGAAGAGGAGCACGCGGAAGGGGCGGGATGCGACGGTACGGGGCGGAAACGGGAGGGACGGGAGGGGACGCGACGAGGGGGCATGCATGCAGGGGGTCATGCATGAATGCAGGTCCTTGGCGTAGCAGGGTGAAGAGCACATCGTGTAATACAGCACAGCACAAGAACATCGCACAGTGCAACAGCGCAAGTGCAGCCAGTGGCGCGAAGCCGCCAAACATGTCCCAAAACTCGGTCGTCCAGCTTGCCGTCGACTGGTTGTATGGGGGATGGGGGCCGAGCGGGGGAGTGGGAGAGGGAGCGAAGCAGGAGCAGGTAGGGAGCGGAGGAGCGGAGAGAGGAGGGGAAGGGCGGGAGAGAGGCGGCGGAAGAGGAAGAGAAAGGAGCGGGAGGAGAGCGGGGGAGAGGCGGGTTGGAGTGGAGGCGGGGAGAAGGAGCAGGGGGGGGAGGAGAGGGGGTAGGTGGGATGTGGAGGGGAGGAAATGGGAGGGGAGGTGAGTGGAGACAGGAAATGCGCTCCTGCTTGCCGGCGTTCATCCTCCCTATCTCCGTTCTCTCCTCCCCAACCCCTTTTCCTTTCCCCCACCCCCCTTGCCTTTCCACTCATTCTCCCTGCCGCCCTGATTAGGTGCGAACGACGGGTTGCGATAAATCCCGTCATTCCCCCTTCTGCTCCCCATCAATTCCCGCTCTGCTTTTCCATCAATTTCCCCTCTGCTCTCTATTTCCCCCCCTGCTTCTCCTCCGTTTCCCCCCTGCTTCCCCCCATCCCCTTCCCTGCTTCCCCCCATCCCTTTCCCTGCTTCCCCCCATCCCCTTCCCTGCTTCCCCCCATCCCCTTCCCTGCTCCCCCCCATCCCCTTCCTTGCTTCCCCCCATCCCCTTTCCTGCTTCCCCCCATCCCCTTTCCTTCTTCCCCCCATCCCCTTTCCTGCTTCCCCCCATCCCCTTTCTTGCTTCCCCCCATCCCCTCAGCCCTCCTTACCCCCACCCTCTGCCCTGTTCCACCCTGCCCTCCCCATCCCTGCCTTTCCCTCCCTGCCCTGCGTTTCCCTTCCCCATCCCTTCTCAACCCTTCCCTTCCTTTTCATGCCCTCCCCTTCCCCTTCACACCTCACCCGCCCACTACCGGAGTTCCCATGCATGTGCACCCACCACTGTCTCCCCACATGCTTTCATCATGTGCGCTTGCTTGTGTTCCCTTGCAGTTGTTCCTTCGGCACCTCACACCGCCTCCCCCATGTTCCTTCACACAATTCTTCCTGCCTACTCCACTCCCCGTATTTTCAGTGGTGAAGCAGAGGAGCAAGCTGAGGCGCAGCTAAAGCTAGTCCACGCTCTACACCGTACCACCACCTGTTTTTCTTGTGTGTTGTATGCAAGCATGATACTGTATTAGTGTAGGAGATATCCATATCAAAGGCACAATGTGTACTTTTCTTTCTGCAGTGCAAGATATTCTTCCAAGATGTATGGACACTGAGAGTGTCAGAAGGGTAGATAGAGGCATGTCCCTAATACTGGCATGTTCATATACTGGCTTGTAGCTTGTAGCTTTGCGTATGCATTACAGGTTGTATGATACCTGGTGTCGCAATGGTGCCTCAAATCCATGAGAAGGCAGGGAGGTGTGATGGAAAGGCAGGGAGATGGGTAGTAAGTGAGGGGAGATTTGAAGGGACGGAGGGTGAAAAGGGAATACAAGCGAGTAAACATGAGTTAATAAGATGCATGTATGGGGCAAAAGTGATGGCAGCACATGCACATGAACTGGAGGGCAGAAGGCGAGGAGTGACATAGAAGGGCGGGGTCGAGAAGGGAAGGGCAGGTGGGAAAAGGCAGGGATGGGGATGAAGGGGAGGGGAGGAAGGGGCGGGAAGGATGGGGAGAGAAGGAAGGGAAGGGGAGGAAGTGGAGGGAAGGAAGGGAAAAGGGGGGAGGGGAGATTGGTTACAGGAAGGAAGGGACGGCGGTGAGGATTGCGAGAGTGAGAATGGCAGGAAGAGTGTGAGAGGGCAGACGGGCCTCGTGATGTGGCCCACAAGAGATGAGAAGGAAAACGAGATGGTGGGAGGCATGAAGGAGATAAGGAGAGAAGCAGGGAAGGCAGGGAGAGGTGGTGGGAGGCATGAAGGAGAGATGGAAAGGGGAAGCGGGATTGGAAAAAGGGGTGAATGAAAAGTGAGAATTCGGTAAGAAGGTGAGTGACGGGGGAAACAGAGTGGGCAGAGGGGAGAAAGGGTGAGTGTGGGGGAAAGAGAGTGAGCAGAGGGGACGCGTGAGTGAGGGGTGAAAGAGAGTGAGCAGAGGGGAAACAGGTGCATAAAAGGGGGGTAATGAGAGCCTGCAGGGGGGGAAATGAGGGCGTGCAGGGGGGGAAATGAGGGCGTGCAGGGGGGGAAATGAGGGCGTGCAGGGGGGATGCCGCGCGAGGAGGCAAGAGGAGCACGCACGGGGAGGGGAGAGGAGCACGCGCGGGGAGGCGAGAGGAGCACGCACGCGGAGGGGAGAGGAGCATCGGTTGGGAAACCACTAGCTGGCGAGTGGTTTTCGGCTCCAGGCATTTGCCTGGTTTTGGCGATTTGTTTTCTATCCTAGTGGCATCTAGCCGCAGATTGGTTTCCGAGTGGGCGAATGACTGCCTGCCAAACCTGTTCAGATGGTCTGGAAACATTCGGCGAACACGCCGAGGACACCTGGCGGAAACAAATTGGGCGCGAAAAAAAAATTGATTGGTTGCGCACTTTCATTTTGTTGAATGTCGCGACATCGTCGTGAACATCGATACCTACACCTAAAAAATGGCAATGCTATCCTACTATCCTGATATGTTTGAATTGTGACAGTATTGCAGCAAGATTTTTTATTGATAACTACACTTGCAAAAGAAATCGTTAGAGTAACACGTGCATACACTTATTAGGGTAGATAAATGAAATATCACAGTTATTTGTAAAAATACATACGGCACGAAATAAACGAAATTTTATTTACAGCAGCTAATTTGATTCAAAATCTCTAGCAATACAATTGACCCGTGAGGGGCAAATATCAACAGTGAAATGCACAATAAATTAAAAAAACAATACAACACAGCTCGGCAACAGAACTAAACTAGAGCGCTTCGTACTAAATTACTAACTAGTACAAAAGCATCAACACGAGCACGGGATCAGACTACAATTCCAAAGCTGCACGCAGAACATTTGTAGCAGTAACAAACACCAACACAACAAAAGCAAGTTACGGTTAGTAGAGAATAATGCAGGAAAACGATTGCTTACCACAGACATGCTAACAACGCAGAACGCAATTAACAGTCTGCCAAACCTTAACATACGCCATCCTCGATCTGCAACATCGGAAAAAAAAAAAAAAAACAGATTAACCTGAGCCCATCATAAATGGCACGATTGTCTCGAACGAAGCAAAAACAAAAGAAACACATAACTGACTTAACAACTCACCTCTCAGTTTCACACGATTTTGTGCAGGCCACCTTCACATCTGCTCCACACGTCGCCTGCATGTATCAGCATCTGACAACAAAGAAACGAGACGACGACAAGGTTAATAAATCCAGAAGGGATATTACAGGAGCATACGAGATGGCTTACCAGTGCCGAGAAATGAGGATGTTAGAGCAGCTGCATCCAACGCCTTGCCTTGCACAGATGTCCTTGTTGTCGTTGCTAGACGTGCCTTGAAACGCTGTCATTTTGTCGGCGACCTAAAGCACTTAGACGAGTGCAGAAACAGAGGTGGGAAGGAACTCAGAAGAGATTAAAGTCGCGAACGTAATAACAAGTCGCGAACCTGAGGAGCTAAGCCAGGAACGAGTGACGAACGTGAGGAGGAGAAAACCTGGAGTCACTTGAGTCACTTCTCTAACAGCTCGTCGATGAGAATAAAAGAGATTGGAGCTTGCTGCAAAAACAACGAGCTCGAGGTGACGAACGAGCAGGTGCATGGGACCAGTAGGCAGCTGGGTGCATGCACCTCACCTCACAAATCAGAGCCTCGTGACGAAACCTGCTACTGGCTTACAGCGTGAGGTTTCGAAACGTGCAAGGCAACCGCCAACGTGGCGTCGAAGGTTCTGATTCGGCCCCTCAGTGGCTCAGCAGTGACAACAGAATTTCTATTGGTGTTCGCAACACATTAGACATTCCACTTTGCAGCGCTGTCGCAGTTCTGAGCAACGATTAGTTACAGTGGCATCTATGCTGAGCTACACAGTACAAATACTTATCCAGCTCGACAAATACTTATGGCTTGCAAACTGCTGCCAGCTCGACAAATGTGGTGAATGTTGCAACTGTGCAGTTTCAACACACTATTGTACAGACATTGTTCCTATCGGAGACCCACCATATTAGAAGCCGCATTGCGTCTAATATCTCTTTTCAACAGCCATAATAATAAGCACAAATAGTCTGAAATATAGGCGATACCTGTCCGTAGGCACATTCATTCTGAGCATGGTGCGGTTATCACTGTTTTTTCCAATATTTTCACAAATTCATCAATAACTTGATCAAATCAAACAAAATTCAGTGATAACTTGGAGTTTATTTATGTACAGTATTAGCTCTCATTAACGTTTTAGTCCTACATATACATATTTATACCCCAATTATTGTACTATCAACTTCCAGTTTCACAACATTTTCTCATGAGATAGTAAAATGCCTTTAACTCTTTCTTATCATATGGAGCTAGAATGTTTACACGTCTAGACATTATTTATTTATTTACAAATATAATCATACATGGTGTTGATGTTGTTGTTGTCGTTGCCGTTATCCTTGTTGTTGTCGTTGCTGTTGTCGTTGTTGTTGCTGTTGCTGTTGCTGCTGGTGTTGCTGCTGTTGTTGTTGCTGCTGCTAATGCTGCTACTGCTGCTGCCGTTGTTCTTGTTGTTGCTCTTGCTGTTGTTGTTGCTGCTGCAGGTGTTGCTGCTGCAATGTTGTTGTTGTTGTTGTTGTTGTTGTTGTTGTTGTTGTTGTCGTCGTCGCCGTCGTCGCCGTCGTCGTCGTTGTTGTTGCTGTTGTCGTTGTTGTTGTTGTTGTTGTTGTTGTTGTTGTTGTTGTTGTTGTTGTTGTTGTTGTTGTTGTTGTTGTTGTTGTTGTTGTTGTTGTTGTTGTTTTTCTTTTTTTCTTTTTGGTAATAGGAGTGTCTTAGACTTGCCAAATGTCCAACCAAAAAAGAGCTCAATCAAATAAAGATATCAATATAGCAAATAAATATACTTCAATGGTTAATTTGTGATAAGTAATCCAATTAAGGAATGGTATTTGTGCTGGAAACATATGACATGAACCATTTTGCTCCTTTAAATTATTACAAGGAGATTCCATTCCAAGCTACAACATTAACAAATTGTCATTACATATCTTATATTAAACGAAATGTACAAGTCGATATAAACTGCAACAGTTTCAAACAATCTAATTCGGCTCCTCCCAGCGATATCGAGTTCCAAATCCCTGGGAACATGCAGCTCATGATTGGATCGCAATCAATCGAAGGCATTTCCAAGCCTCTGCAAAACCGAACACTCACCGCCCGTGCCTCGAAAACAATTCAAACCCAACCAGATTTCGGACGAACCTTGTCGCTACACGCATTCGATTCGCCCGAAATCCTTGGAAGTAGCCAACCATTGGCCAAATCTATAGGCTTGCGAGGCAATGGCTACTGGTTTCCCCCCTCTATTTGCCAGCGAGTGGTTTTCCACACGAAAACTACTCAAGCTAGTTTTGCGATGAGCACGCACGCGGAGGGGAGAGGAGCACGAACGCGGAGGGGAGAGGAGCACGCACGCGGAGGGGAGAGGAGCACGCACCCGGAGGGGAGAGGAGCACGCGCGGGGAGGGGAGAGGAGCACGCGCGGAGAGGCGACTCTACAAAATGTGGGGCCGCAACAACCATGCACGAAACCCGCCTTGCCCCACCCATGCCCGGCGGCGATTGCCAAAGCAATGTGCACACATTCTAAACACAATGGTTGGCAAGGATGTTCAATGCTCAAACATAGCACTCACATTGCATATCTGTCTTTGGCCTTGCACATTGTTTCCTACCCCTTCCACATTGTGTCCCCGTAGCTGCTAGCAGTTCGCATCCAACCCGCCCCGCACGTGCCAAATTGGGCTGGTTCAGCGAATTTACTTCGGTTGTGTTGGATGTACAGTGGTGTCGAACTTGCATGAATCTGAGTCTGATTTCGCATCGACGGAAACTTACTGGCGTTATAACAGGACTGACTATAGCGACATTGGAATTGGATAAGGTGTTGCTGACGCGTCAGAAAACAGCGTCACTTTTGAAGGTGCGCTGTCAACATCAGATGTGACAGCGCTGAAGTGGTCTGGATTAGTGTGGCGAAATGAAACCCAAATATCATAGGGTTTCCATCTCACTGGACTCGTCAGGTTCCCTGTGAACCCACAGTATCGAAAACTTCAGACCACACCAGGTTTGAACAATCACGCAAACCATTTCGTCCAAACTTCGCTCGAGCGAAAATGAGGGCTTTAGGTGTGTGATGCTCCTCTCCCACTCCTTCAAACTTCACCCACAGCTCAACACTCGTTCATTTTCACATCCTACGATTTCCTTGTACCGTTTTATTCACTCTATCGGCTTTCGCGATGCTCTGCCTGCTCCTACCTCTCCATTATTGCGCCATAAACACGGTTCAAATACATGTGTCAATTTCTGTTCTTATATCCCCCCTCTTGCAGCTACAAAAATAGTACTGTTGCGGACGGTTTCTGCTGCGAAATTTGACCGGCTGCATGAAGCTCGAGATTAGGCTACCTTCTCACGCCTTCCTCGCACTCGTATTGTCTACTGCGACCTTGTTCGTACATTTTTTTTTTTTTTTTTTGCAGAATACCAGCGCGCATGACAGCGCTCTATATCAGCGACTTCCGAGATTTTCGCCAAGCGAATTTTATTGCCAAGTTGATATTCTCCAGAAGTTTTATCGTCACCGAGCTTATCACGGTTCCTTGAGGAGTCTCATAGAATGCAGTTCCGCGCATGTCAATGGCATCCATGATCGATAGGTTCATGTGTGTCGTCCGTTTTACAGTACGTGTCCTCTCTGTGTTGACCTAACTTTGCTGGTGTTCTGCAGAACCTTCGTTGTGCCCGGAATAAGCTGTTACCAGTAGTTCATGCATGTTCTGCACCTGCTGTGTGTGGATCATGTTCGCGGGTATATAAATAGGATGTTAGGTGTTCATTTGTTATTGATCATGCAGACCAGGTATTGTGATCATTGCTGTAAGGTTGAGTTGAAATGTAAGTTTGGGATTACTAATTTCCAGCTGGGAATTCATTTCATGAGTGTCACGAAGTTGCTATTTCCCTGGAACCTATTGTGTAAACTGCGATTTGTATTTTGCATTTTTCAATTGCTTGTATTTAATCATACTGAGATCCGTGTACTGTGATGATTGATCCGTTAAAAGCTCCCTTATATGACGATTTTCCAGTTGCTTTAGTGAGGATGAGCAATGTTGGGTGTATACTCGTGCACTCGTTGCCGAGC